GCCTGCAAATGTGAAAAATTACACTCTAGGTGTGCTTTGTTTTTGATCAATTGCCAATAATTCTCTTATTGAAAAGGTTCTATACAGTAGGTCATAGAAACACAACAGTTTGTAATATGTACACAAAATGCACTTAGTTGCCAGTTTATTAAGTATACATAGCTAAAACGAATGCAGTCTGTACAACAGCCGTGCAGAGAACCCAACCTTCATGTTGGTTATGGTGTATGTTTTCTTTGGAACTGCTTTAGAAAGGTGTTGAGTCAACTTCACGGCCATTTCGTAGGCCGTAGTTTGTGTTGCTATTGAATTGTATTGAATAATACTGAGGTGTTTCTAATATTTAGTCCACCATCAGCCTTATAAACAGGTACATAATCAATATGTGGCAGTTTAAGAATTTAAACGCTTGAATGTCTAATAAAACACAGATCCTGATTTGGATACACTGTAGCATTTAAAGTAAAGACAATGTCATTTGTTTGCCAGCTACTCTGTACCTTTTAAAGGCTTATCTCCCTCGAATCTGTTTTAAATACTTCCGATTCCCCCTAAGGTCACGGGGAACTGGAGTCAACCTTTCGTCTAGTCCCAGACCTCTCCCTTCATCAGGAGTACAGAGAGAAAGTTACCAAACTTCCCCGTCTAAAACCCCCTCCCATGACAGAGTCACTCAGTCTTTCCAGAAAAACGCCTTTCCTTTTTGCTTTCCTTACACCAATAGGAGGGGACTGTAGAAAATCCTTTTGTGTTGACAGATTCACAGGACTCGCTCACTTATTGCATCAAGTCTTTGAAGGATGATCTCAAACAGAAGTATTGATGTTGTTATCAAATGAGTCTTGCATTTTATTTTCATACACCAGATAACTTGTCAGGATACTGGGTTTGCCTCAGACATGCTGTGTGAAAACTGGTATCGGGGTGTGAATATACTTAGTATAATAATATCGTTTTAATTTAGTTTACACAGAGAACCAAGCTGTGTACTTTTCACTCCTCCTAACAAACAGAGAGTGTTAATATCCCCACTACCAAGGTGGTGCATCTTAAATACTAATTGCATATTTGCAATTCACAAGAGAAAACAGCTTATTCGGTGATCTTGAGACAGGAGGCAGTGTTCAGAAACACTGAGAAATGTAAGCGCAACCGCCTAAACCAAAACACAGACAAAGACACACTTTACAATTCAGTAATGTGGCTCACCCTCTTCCTTACAGGGAGCAACTTGAAGCCTAACATTTCCCCCCTCAATTAAAACACCAAATGTAGATTACCTGTGTGCAGACAGTACGTCTTCTAATAATAGCCCTCTGTGTCTGAACAACAGGTGGCCGATTGGGCAGGCAAACACAGACTTAATGCTGACTGCAGATGTGGGCATCGTTGATAAGAGGTCACATAATTAGGCCACGTAGTAAAACGGTGTTTAAAAAAAAAAGAAAAAAAGAAGAGGTTAATATCAACGCTTACCAGTTTACCGGATCTTTCCTTGGCTTTCTTCACCTTGCCATAGGTTCCCTTCCCGAGAGTCTCCAGAAACTCGTACCTGTGCTTCAGGTTGTGTTTGTGATGGTGTCTCTTCACGGCTTGCTTTTTCACGCACAGCTGGGACGGAGCCTTCCCAACAGGAGTGTTTTCATCGGGTGAAACTCCCGCAACGTACGGCCTGCAGTTTGACAAAACACGGGCAACACTTAAGCCGTCCATCCTGACCACACGCTGCTGTTTTTTCTGGCCTGTATTTTCAGACGTTGTTAACAACACGCATTCCTTCGCGTGCAGCACTGTCCTATGTTGGAGCAAGTTGTCTCCAGATTTACACATCAGATAACTACTTTAAAAACTAAAGGCTGGAGACAGAGTCCGAAACATCTGACTCCAAACCGCGAGCGTGTCCGTCCTCTTTGCAGAGCTGAGACCTACTAGCAGCAGGTACACAACACGATGCAGGAGCGCAGCCGACACGTCAAATAGTCGAGGGGCGTTTCAGGTACACAGAGGAGCGCTTCATTTGTGACACCAAGCGCTGCCAGTCACCTTAGATACAATGAGCGCGGTTTGATTATTACATTGTTTAGATCGCTCTGATTTTTTTTTAAATGACTTTTCATGTTGATGTGTCCTTTTTTCATTACACCTTTTCAAGCCTCCAAGTCAAACCTGATACAAGTTCAGTGGTGCGTCACAGAGTTGTGTTATTAGTTTAACCAAATACTGGTGGCATTACACTTTATATATTTAAAGCAGCCTTAATAGATGTAGTCGCACTTGTAATAGAAGGTTAGCAGTTTGTAGTAACTTAGTAGTTCAATCAAGTAAGAACATAAAATGCAGATCACAGCTTTTGTGTCACTGCTGTTTCAGTCGCTGTGCACGGAAATATACAACAAGCGCACCACCAAAATAAAACTAGTGTGGGACAAATGTAGGCTACTCGGGACAGCCTTGCAATATATAATAATAATATCCAGTGTTACAATGTAATTCAGTTCACTCACGTACTGTACTTCTATAGAGATATGATGTAGGCATACTTGAGTATTTTTATTTGATGCTATTTTCTTACTTCTACTCCATTACAATTGAAATATTGTTCTTTTTACTCCATTACATTGATCTGACTGTTCTAGTAAATAGTTACTTTACAGGATAAGATTATATATACAAAACATATCAAGAGCTCATAAAATAGCATGCATTGAATTAAAATAAATACCAGAACATAAATAAAACCACAGCAGTACAATGACATTGTTGAAACTGCTCTACCGTGACCCCCTACAACAGAAAATACAGGTCTCTGTAATAATAATCCAATAATATAATATAATATGACATTTACAAGGTCAATTTATGTACTTTTACTTACATACATTTTGCTTAGGTACCTTTACTAAGGGGGCATTTTCAATTAAACTTGTACTTGTATTTTTATATTGCCTTTTTTACTTAAGTAAAGATCTAAATACTTCCTCCACCACTAATAATAAATAAAAATTAGAGTAAACTGAAAAAGAGAAAACTGCTTATATCAGTAATATTAACTCATTGATCATTTTAAAATTATCCATTTATTTACTGGTGATTTAACGTTTGGCCCACATTAGTGATGTGCAATTACTCTGGTCTTTTTCCTGGATCATTGACTTGGGGGAGCAAACTGATTACTGATTACTTCCTTTTCCAGTATAACATATATCTAGGCTTACTTGAAGATGATTACTGGAATAACACTGTTACAGTTACAAGTTCTGATTCTCATAATCACAATCCTTAAAGGAAAAAGAAAAAAATAACTCTTTCCTCTTTGATTTCAGCCATCCCAGAGAGTTACTACATCCTTATCGGAAAGAGTTTAAGGTTGGATTAGTTGTGTCATTACAGCTGTAGGCCACTAGAGATCAGCATGTTGTCACCAGCTGTAAGGTTTTACAAACAGAAAGCCTGAAAGATAGTGGCTCTCTCCCAGTTAGTCCTACTACATACTAATAATAAGCATATTGAGTATATTTAGTGTTTAATATCCTGTGTAGAATAGCATATTAGTTCAGACACCGGAGTGTTTGTTTGTACAGGATGAGCAGACATCCCTGATTTTCGGGAACACTCAGATTTAATACTTTGAGCCAATTGGCTTCTCCGTCTGTCTTAAATTGACCTCCTAACCCATCAGCAACAGCATGTGTTTGCCATTCAGTTTTATGCAGAGGAACACTGTGCACAAAATAAACAATGAAAGTACTTTTGGAGCCACAATTGTAAAAATCTTGGCGGAATAAGACTTAGAAAAAAGTAGCACCTTGACTAGAAAAAATTATTATAAGTTCAAAGGAGACAACATTATTAAATATTGTTATGTCTGTGTGACTACACATGGGATACATTTCCAGATTGTAACGTCATAAATTGACAAGATTTGACACTATATGTCATACTGACATACAGTAAGAAATAACTGTGTGTGTGAGGATTTACTTTGCACTCATCTGAGCAGCTGATCTGCTATTAATAAGGCATATAATTTGTCTAGTCACAGAGTAGCTTGCACACCAGTACTGCAACACACGTTTTCATACAAAGAAAGGAGTAACGTCATGTGTTACATTTAAATAAATTACAAGAAGGGACAAATAATTAAGATTGTTTAGTATACATTGTTTATAAAGTGTCCTCTAACTGAACAACTCACTAAACTATGTGATTTTTAAGGGAGTCTGGGGCGGGTTTGCTGCTGCCTCAAATCACTCACATGCAGGTTTCCCTCTGGAGGACAGAGATCTGATCTCAATGAGGTTAACAAGAACTAATTAAAAATACCAATAGTGAACACAAAGGTAAGATTGGATTATTTATTATCTGGGTAATGTATCTGGATACAGATCACATTTTAAAACCAGGTGTAAATTTGGTGTTTGAGTCTCCAGATTGAGAATTCTGTAATGGAGAGGATCATCCAGTTAGGTTGGGGCGTGAGGTCCAATGAGGTTTAGGTAGGTGTGGGAGAGAAGTTTAGTATTTTGAAAAGAAAAAAACATATTTAAAATAAATAAAAAAACATAGGCCTAACCATTTAAAAGTTGTGTTTCCTTCCCCCTAATGCCAAATTCCCTCCCCAGTTCTTTAAAAATGATTTGACGTGCCTCATAAATCACACTTGTCAGAAAATAAGTCAAAATAATCAGATACTAAGTCAAACATTTGACCTATTTTTCCATTTTATACTTTTAAAATTGTCTCATAAATTTTATATATGTCAAAATGTTTATATATGAGCGTTTGTATTTTTGTCATCCTAACATCTCTATTTGTCTTTATTTACTTACGAAATTGGACCTCCATATTGACTCATTTCAAAATCTGGGCATTATTAAAAACTTTCATTTGTTTTATTGAAACTCATGAACAACAAAGTGATCCAGATCCACACGGTAACTGTTAATGTCCCAAAACCCACCAAGTCCTACATTTCCCAGGTTGCAGTGCGTCACCCCGCCCTTTCCTCTCCCCAACTCTGTTCGCGTCGACTTTCTGTTTTGCAGTGATTTGATTGCTTGCTCCCAGCTATGTGATTTGGTTCGGACACACCTCGCCTGCACCACCACTGATTGTCCTCTTCATCTTCATCACCAAAAGAGAAAGCAGACGGCTCCAGTGAGTTGTGCTGCCGTCGCTCTCCAGGGAGGAAGATGTCCGCTGGCTTCCCCGGGCCGGAGCCAGTTTAGGAAGATCTTTTTTTCCCCACAGAGTTTCGTTAGGAAAACACCAACGTTTTGTTGCGCTTTGTGCCGTTGTCTTTTAACTTAAGAGACAACTGTCAGAGTCGGGCCCCCCCTCTCAAACACGGAGCTGCATGGCTGTGAACCAGTGCCTTGGACGTTTTACGTCAAGTTCTGTCGTGCCAGGCCAAGGCGAGGGCGGACTGGAGATGCCTTCAGGCTAAGAGAGCTAACGTCTGGACCAGGGCTAGACCGCAAAACACAGACTGCTTAGCACCAGTAGGATCTTGGTGTGCTTTGTTTTTAAGACCCTCCTCATACCGCCGGTGTGAACTAGAAAGGGCAGCTACACGATATGCCGAAATAGCGGTTACTTTGTTAAGTTAGCTTGTTGTTTGAATCTTAAGTTATCTTGTAACGGCGCGACGTTAAGCTAGCAAAGTTAGCTGTGCAGCTTCTGTATCATAACAACACAAGCCAAATGTCTAGTGATTGTTCACTGACACAAAACACTGCAGGGAAGGTTGTCTGTCAGCACTAATACACTATGATATATTAAAATAAAAGTGTCTTTCTGAAGTATTTAACACAGCCTAGGTGGGTGGACAAACATGAGCACTAACTAACTAGCACCAAACGAAAAGAGGGGGTGATAACAGGACTGACTGCTATTTGAGCATCTCAACTAAAGAAGTTAAATTTGGGGTGTTTTTAGCACCTGCTTAAACTTGTAAGTCACAACAACGAGGAAAGGCAGCCGCTCAACCTGATGACCATGGAGGGAAATGTACAACAACAGAAAACAACTCAATTAGCCCGGGAACTGATGAGGGTATTTAACAGCTACAACAAGCACACCGTGCAGCTGAAGAAGAACCTGAAGGAAACTAACGCATTCTTCCGGGAAATAAGGCAAAATTACAGCAATGCTTGTGCATCAACCATGAGCTCGGATTCTCTGGAGGCAGGTAGGTGTGAACACATGCAGCAGCTACACAGCCCTGCACTGTACCCACATGTCACAGTGTTTAAAACGTGTTTAAAGCATCCTATATGGATGGCCAAAAAAAACAAAAACATGCATAGTTGTGTTTTACTTGTTGTTGTTTCGAAACAGAAAGGAAGAACTAACAGGTTTCTGCTGACATGTGATTTCTCTACCAACACATAGACTGACAAAAAATGCATTAATTAGGGTTAGGGAAAACTAAAGAGATTAAGCCCCCTCTCAAAAGCATGAGCGGACTAAGTGCACCAAATATGCTGAGATTACCACCTGGCTGAAAGTCAGTAACTGGGCTTACTGGGGACATAGTTTTGTAGCTTTGTCCAACTTTAAAATGATCGTATTAGCCCCTATTTGATATTACTGCATCACATTTTCCCATTGCAATCACCCCAGATTAAGAACGTTTCTATAAAAACATTTTCACTGCTCCATATATGCCAAAACATTATTGTAAGCTTTCTTGACCACATTATTTAGATACGTATATCTATGAAACATTGATTAAACACACAGCAGTGATGGAAAGCCAGATACAATGTAATGCGGCACATCTACACGGGTGTCTTATACACCAGAGAAGGTCAAAATAACTTTCCTCAGTGTTAAATGAACTTAAATGATTTGTCATAATCAACAGAAAAATGAGACCGTAATCCTGCCTTTCATGGGCAAAGCCAAACCCATGTCTTCACCTTCTTACTAGATTCATCTAGCAGATGTCTCGCTTACCCTAACTTATCTGGACACAAAATGTGCATCACATGACGCAGAAGAATCACAATATAGTTCCTGATCTGTTATCTTGCTAGAGGTGATGTATAGGTCAGCACCAACTGACCGTTTAGCAATTTATCCACAGGTCATGCAGTCAAATGATCAGCACAGGTCTGTCTGAATCAATAGGTTTTAATGCGTCATGTTAGGTCAAGTGGTGAATACTGGTAGGGGAATGCTAGATTAGAGTCACAGTAAAACCACATGTATGTGACAAAGAAAGGCACTGGTATATAAATGTAAAGTAGGCCATTGCTACTCTCTCCCCTCTTTTGTTATACAACTGTTTCAGACTGTGACTCAGCATCACTGAGGATTATGTCTGATACGTTCACTAACAAGGTTGAATTGGTTCTTCTGTGCTCCACATCTCAGCGCTTGATCAGGAAACAATAGCCCAAGGAATAATATCAGATGTCAACTGTTTTTAACATCTCTATCATGGAACAGTGATCTACTGTATATTCTGGTAATGGCGCACAGATATAAAGGATCATGTGTCACTGAGTACTCCATCTCTGGTTGCAGTGTTAGCTAAGAGCTCACTGCTTCCAGGAATGAACATAATAACTGATAAGTTCTGTCCTCAGTCCACCTCTCAACATCATATACCCCCTTGTGTTCCCCCAGGACAGCTTAGCTGCATCTCTTTCCCAAGCCATGAGGAAGAGTTCCTACGTAACACTGTGGGTGCTGCCCCGAACATTGTGGTACTAGGCCAAGACTGTGCTGCCCGCTACCAGCTGCTCAACTGCCTTCTGGGGGAGAGGCTGCTGCCGCTAGGCCCAGAGGCCGGAGAGGCTTGTGAAGGAGTCCAGGGCACTGTCTGCAAGAGGCGGAAGCTGTGCTTCACCCATGGGAGGCAGACAAGGCTCAGCTTGGCGCTGCCTGGCCAGTATGAGCTGGTGCACCAGCTTGCGGCTAACTGTGGCCGCTGGGATACAGTGCCCCGGGAAGACTTGGAGATCCATGAGGAATGTGAGGACCCAGCCCACAGGCTGGCAGAGCTGGAGATCACCCTGCATCACCCACTGCTACAGGTAGGCTTCAAATCGCAGGCTCTGGATACCGTGTGAAACCAACTGGATCTACTGTCTCTATACCGTGTGTGCTCATGGTTTAAATAATGAGTTTGGCTGCTGTTGGTAATCGACTGATATGATTTTTCAATGGCCGATGCTGATATTTATAAAGCAGGTCGATATATAATACCCATATCAATTGATGTAAGTCATGTATAATTCCATGCAGAGTACATCTAATATACATGTTATCTTATTAATTAATGAAATAGAAAAATACACTGGGTTATACTGTCGATTGAACTCTGACACATGTACTCAAGTTTCCAGAAACGGTCGATGTGACCATGTTGCACACTGCTTTATTTTTAAAAGAAGATGTAGAATGAAGGTGCGATGAGGCAGAATTGTATGCATTGATGAAAAGCAGGTGTCTCTAAAGCACCCTGGAAAAGCTTTTATCGAAAATGACATTACCTGCCAACGCTTCCATTTTTCCAGGGTTTCTCCCGTGTTTCCAGGCCGTCACCCGGCCCCCTCCCGTTCAGTTGTTACTCAAGGGAAACTCTGGTAATTTGCAAACTTTATTATGAATAATCATCATACATGCACCCAAGTTTTTGGATGTTTGCACCTGATGCATTCGCAAGTCATGTCATAGAGCTGCAATGATTAATTGATTAGTTGATTAATCTGTTTGAGTAATTATTTAAGGGAAATAAATCCAACATCTCTGAGTCTAGCTCCTTAAGTGTCAATATTTTCTGGTTTCTTTGCTCCTCTCTGACAGTAAACTGACTATCTTTGGGTTGTGGACAAAACAAGAAATTTTAGGACATCGTCTTGGGTTTTGGGAAACACTGATTGACATTTTTCATCATTCTATGACATTTAATAGACGAAACAACTAATCGATTAATTAAGACAATAATATACAGATTAATCGACAATGAAAATAACCGTTAGTGGCAGCCCTATAAGTGGTGTACTGGACATGAAAAATGAAAAAACACTCAATTATGTCATTCTTTTCAATAATATGGCCTGGCCCTAACTGTGTGTTTAGCTTGTTGGTACTTCCTCCTGTAGCCTTTGTGTTCACACACAGCTGAGCTCACAAAGAGATTATTGAGCAGAGCTGATTATTCCCTGTGTTCAGTGTTTTACCTGATTTGTGCAACTGTTCAGAAATACATTCTTTTACAGTCGTTTTTCTCCCGTTCAGGTTTCAATCAGCTCTTAAAAACAGATTCACAGCTTACAGGTTGAAGTTTACAGGGGAAAGGAAGAAAGGACACAGTGGTACAGTCATGCTGGTCTTCAGCCAGTGCGACCTGAAAATCACAATATCTTGTGATTTTGGAAGTGAATTGATTAAGCGTAAGGATTGTAGTCATTCCTTATCATGTGTGACATGTGGAAATGAGTCTCTAATCCTTTAAACCAAGGCCCCTTAGTGAGCATCACACAGCCCAGAAATTAGGCCCTGCTCTGCCTCCGAGCAGCCCACCCGCCCGGCCTCTTACGTAATGCAACTGGTCTGGTGCGATTCACATGACTAGGTCATGTTAAAAAATCCCAAACCCTTTGCTGTGATGATGTTGCCATGGTTACAGCTGAATACTGGTACACTGCTTGTTTATATCATTACAGATTTTTTATTTTTTTTATTTTTTACATTTAATAGCATAAATCAAGATTTTGTGTGAGCTATGTAGAAAAGAACTATTCAGAAACTGTTATTAATCCAACATTTTTGCAAAAATTCATTAATTCAAAATCTATTTGTACCAATACTGACATGAATTATACATGTAAACATTGATTTCATCTTCAGAATATATTTTACGTGTCAAGTCTCATTAGTGTTGTGGAATAACTTAAAGCTGGGGAAGGAAACTAGCGAGAGACAGCTAGATTTTGAAAGTATCAAACTGAAATAATTCATCCGGACCGGATGAAATGATTGGCCGTGCTTATTACAGTCCTGTGACAGCCACAGATACTGGATTTCTTTCATTTTGTGTCGGAGAATTTGATTTATTGATTACTGTCAAGCTTTTAATTTCATCAAATAGAGCAACAAATGCTTCTGAAATAAAATTTTGTAAAACCCATGGTGTGTGGAGTCTGCATGACTCTCTTCATGTCATCATGTTATAAACAAAGTGATTGTATAGTATAGTAGTGTATACTAAATATGGCTAAATCCTTTTTTAGAACTTCTTGCATTGCTGACTCACCATCCACTAGAGTCTTATCTCAAAAACAGAAACACAATAGATTTAAAAAAAAAAAAAAAAGCTGGAAGGAAAATATCAGTGCTGGAATTATCTCACACCCCCGTTCATTTTTATGTGTGACTGAAATCCCTTATTTAGCTCAAAAAGTTTGTCACACTTGACAGGACCTCAGAGAAGATTGTACATTATTTTCTACCTTAGTCTGCAGTTTATGTCCTACGCTTGGAGGAAATTATTTTAATAGTTCTGAATCTACACATTTTCATCAGCCAGGCACTAAAACATAGATTTGAAGCTGTGTTCCGCTCGTCTTTAGGTTTCTGCTGAATGAATAAAAAATTAGCATGTTTAGGTTGGAGTAAATGGAGGCACAGAATCTCTCTGCTCACTGTGGTATTCACACTCTGCTGCCATAATCACAGCAACCTGTTTTAGAGGCCAGCAGATGAGGACCAACTTGCTAATTAGCCCTCTCTTCATCCCAAAGTTTACTCATGCTTCTCAACCCAACTTAAGCTCCCAGAGGACATAAAGGGTGCCATCCTAACGCAATGTTTCTGAAATTCTTTTGAGGTCCATAGATTCTTGTGTTCATTGCCAGTGCTCTATGAATTCACATAAGAAATGCTGCTTGTTAACAAAGGCCTGTGATATTAGCAGTCACCCTTAAAATATGCTAATAGAAGAATTTCTTACATGGCTGTTTGTCTTGACTGTGTTACTTTAGAGAGCTGGTTCAGTGTCACACTTTTTAAAGACATATGAAATACAAAATAGTAACTTGTTGTTGAAAACAAACTGCATTCAGGCAATTCAAACATTGTATCGGTTTTGATTGGTTGTGAACAAATGTTTGCAGGCTATCTTTGTTCCAGAGAGACTGCTCAGATGGGCTCAGCTCTTGTTTCTTGGAGACAGGACTGACTGTCTCCTTTGTGCAGCTGTTGGTCATTTTTGCCTCTTTTCTCTGGCTGTCTCTTCGTTCGTCACGGTCTCCCCCTGAAGCGGTCTCTGGGACTATTTTTGTTGATGTTGTTATTTATGAAGGGTTAAGAAAACCTTTTTACTTATGTAAATTTTCTGCCCTGTCACAGACATTCCCAAGACCACCACAAATATTTATTTGCCATTATGTGTGCAGAAATAGAAAGAGCATGTGATATCTGTGGATGGGTGTTTTCTTTCTTATGCATTGAGCACCTATATAACAGGGTTTGTAGCCTAGTTTTGCTGAGTTAAGTTAAAAGGTCAATTCACCTTCATTACATAAAACACATTAGACATATAAAAAAATTAAAACTTTTTATATATTCTAGTGTTTGTAGAAAATATTGAACTAGCTCCAGTGAGGTCTATGGATTATTGAGTTTTTTCTAACAGGATTTACAGCTCTTTAAGCTCTGTCTTTGGTCTCCACCAGCTGTTTAGGAAAACATCTGGCTCTTGAGCTGCTAACTGCTCCTCTCTGCTCCTCTATGTTCACCAGCTAGTCACTGCTTTTGCCTCTCAGATGTTTGGTGTTGGGCAGGTGGGGTACAGTGTGTTGATCAGAACTTTTTCACTGCAAACAGCCTGCCTGCTGCTTGCAAAAATGACACTGATGAGAGCTGTGAGATTAAGCCAAAACAGTAAAGTTGTGTTTTGTAAAACCAAAATAACGAGCTGATTTGGTGACATAAAATTCTGTAGAGTTGAGGGGAACTGCAGAGTCAGGTGATAATTATCTGTGAGTTTGTCACCAGCAACACCTTTCACATTATATTCAGTCGTTTGATCCATTGTTATTATAAAAACAACGATCGTAGCGCCTTTAAATTCCATTTACCTCCATGTTTGGTTCAGTGACAGATCGCTGCAATAATTTGGCAACTAAAATCCAGCAGTTCCCTCCTGGTGGTGTCTGCATAGCTGCACAATTTGGAGAAAAAGTTTACAATCACAATGCCGGCTCAATGTCGTGATGTCTGTCAGCCATCCCCAATGGACGGCAACCTTTTCTGTTTAATTAAATTGTATCCCTTTGCGGTTATGTAATCACACAGGGTGACATTGTGATTAGATTAATCATGCAAACCTACTGCATGGCTGGATCTCAGTGGCCTTTTTTACAGAACCGCATTTCCTATAAACCAGTAAGCTTGAAATATAGTAACATTGTTGTGGTTTCTTTGTGGTTCGTCATCAGGAAGCAAAGGTCATGGTGGTACCTTGTCCGAGTGTCCAGCCCATAGAAGAGGCCCTTGAAGACTGCACTCGCAACGTGGTCCCCATCATACTCTATGCCATCAACCAGGACTCCCTAAGCACAGAGCAGGTGACTGAGCTCTGGAAGGTTAAAGAGATGCTCCCCTTTCCCATCTGTTTTGTTCGTATCCCTGACATCATGCAAGCAGCCTCCCCAGAACCCGGCCGCCAAGCGGAAAAGGAAAAGGAGAGGGAGAAGAGCGCCCTCCATAAGCAGCTACTCTCCCTTGGATTCCTCAGTAGCCCAACAGGAAAGTGCTCCTGTGGTGCCCCTACACAGATGCCCACCCCGGGTGCAAAGCCCCAGAGCATGCTGGGTGAGGCTTTCGAAAGACTGCATCGGTTGCTGGTGCCTTTTGCTCGCCAAGTGCTTCAAAACCAGCAGGTAGAGGCTGCCAACCTGCTTAATGGGCTTCACTGTCGCTGTCTAGATCTTTTCATCAACCAGGTGAGAGGACGATGCCTCCTAGCACCGTTCGTGAGTGTCTGTGATTGTTTTGTTATGCTTCATAAACATGTGACAGTTGTAACTCCCACAGCATAAACTGCTTGGTCTATCTGCGTTGAGCCAGTATGCCCCTGAAAAATCACCAACAGATCATCCTCTTGTCCTCTCTGCTTCACTTCCCCGCAGGCCTTTGACATGCAGAGGGACCTGCAGATAACACCCCGCAGGCTGGAGTACACCCGTGAGAAAGAGGGTGAACTCTTCACCTCCCTCATGGCCATCGCAAACCGCAAACAGGAAGAGATGAAGGAGATGATTGTGGAGACGCTTAGCAGCATGAAGGAGCAGCTGCTGGAGGATGCTGCGAACTTGGAGTTTACAGGTTAGTGAGGGAGCATCCCAGGTAAATGCGGCCGGCTTATCTAAGATTTTTGATATTATTAAGGAAGACATTGTCAATCTCAACCATGTTATCAGTGGAGGAAAAATGACATGTTTAAAAAACAGAGCTGGTGTACTTGTTTTAATGAAGACTTAAACAGCTGTTTATAATAACTGATTCTTGATAATTGCAACCCCGGTACAGTTCAGAAGAACAGCCGAGTTGTGAAGACGGTGCAGATTTTGAAGTCTGATTAAGCTTGTTTATGTTAAAATAGTGGTTCTGATGTCATCAAATCAAGTCCAGGAAGATATCAACTGAAAGCCACAAAAACAAAAGTAAGGAAGTCAAACACATTTTTTACAGTGTGCAAACAAGGGCTTGAGAGATTATTACTGTAAAGGTAACTCGGACCTTTCTATTTGGGTACTTTTAATAACTCTTTTTTATTTATTATTATGTAGTATAGACATCAGGACATATTTTGACATTATCAATGATGATTTATACATTTCTTTGAGGTTGTCTCTGCTGCTGTCAGACCTCTTGGGGACAGGAAAAGAATCATTGCCATGTATTTACACAAACATTATTAAATTGTGTTTTTAATTGGCTTGTTATTTGTTAAAAGTAACAAAAAGTAATTTGTGACGATGTGTTCGGATTCAACCCAGAAGTGGACTGACTTTTAATTTAAGGATTAATTAAAGGGGTCATTTCAGGTCTTCGCAAATTGGATATGTTTTTTCCTAAAAGTGAAGAAGTTAAGCCTGTTAATAGCAGTTTTGGATTCTCCACTCTTAAGATGTGAGAGATGCAGATTTAGTTTTCTGCAGGAAATATAGATAAGTATGCTAAGAATGTATATAAAATTGGAAGCATTATTACCATTACATATTTTCAGACTCAGAAAAGGGAAATGTGATTTGCTATGACAGACACCAGTAACTTTGATTGTGTGGTTTCACATTGGATTTCTCAAAATTGTGCCTGTTTTGCTCTTACATCTTCAACTTGTTGAGAAAGGATTCCCCCTTTATTATTTCTATATTAATAAGCCGACTGACATGTCTTTACTGGCCTCTTCAGCCTGAGTTACTCAAAGCCTGTTTCTTTACTGTTTTTAGACTCTAGTCAGACCTGCAGAGACATGACTGAGCTAGCTGCGTTTCACAATCTGCCCACAAAGTTTTGTACAGTCTGAATCAGTAGTTGAGAAAAGCCTTTCATTGGGTATTGTGCTGTTTCCTTCCCATCTCCCTTCCTGGGCCTTTTTCCAAAAAGCAGCTTTATGAAGTTATCTGGAAAACTTTGCTGGGTAAAACTCTGCATCGGACCATACTCCAGAATTAGTCAGGAATATTAGTCAGTATTCAGGAAACTAGCAATATGCAAACGGGGTTTAAACAGATATTCTCCTCCTCTTGTGTTGTGCAAACACAATGTGGCAATGTGAAATTAGCTCTGATGTAAAGGATTAAAGATGCTCTTTGGACTTTCTAATAGACACTTTCTTTTTACATTTAGTGTTACTCCCCTTCAGGTCTAACAAAAATATCAAATGCTTGTTCTTCCTCAATTATTTTGAAAAAAATAAACTGCATTGTTTACACCCACGTTTGTGAGCATGAGGATCCACATGTACAAACAAAAGCCGGTGCTCACACATGAAAATCATTGTATTAATACTAGTTGTCGCAAATGCCACAGATTACCTCAAGTAATTGATTCTAGCCAGAGTGCCCACGCAGTTTCCAGTTTATTAGGTACACTGAGCTAAAACACAGTCTGTTACAACAGTTTCAGAGAGGTGCTGAATCACCTGGACATTTTAGAGTATGTGGTTTGTTGTAGAGTGTTTCTATTATTTTGTCCACCCCTTTTATACCAGAGGGTAGTAGGCTTAATAACAGAAACAAACTGCTCTCTGTGCATAGCGATGCAGTTTGATTCATCAGGATGTCTAGTTGGTCACACACACACACACACACACACACACACGCACACACACACACACAGACACGCACAGACACCACATATTAACCGGACAAACTGTTTTATTTCAACTTCAGACATCATTGTAACATCTAATGGAGAACCAGTTACGTCGAGGGACATCAAATCTTGCATCCACCAGATCCAAGAGCTGATAGTGGTTCGTTTGAATCAGGCCGTGGCGAATAAGCTGATCAGCTCTGTGGACTATCTGAGGGAGAGCTTTGTAGGAACTCTGGAGCGATGCCTCAACAGTCTAGAGAAGTCAAACTTCGAGTCTTCTGTCCACAATATCACTTCTAATCATCTCAAACAGGTGGGCAGTAGTTTGTGAAAAACAGCAACCTTGTTTAGTATACTGGTCAGGAATTTTAGAAGATGCTTAAATGTGATTAGTATTTATTAATTTTTTATAAGCTTCATCAACAAAGGCCATGTCAGCTTCACTTGTCTTCAGTGCCACAGGCCACCAGGCATTTTCTGTTATCTTAAGCCGTTGGGTTTTCACTTCTTCTCTCATCTGTCACAGTTATTAAATGCTGCCTATCATGTGGAAGTCACCTTTCATTCAGGATCCTCGGTCACAAGACTTTTCTGGGAGCAAATCAAACAGGTCAGTGTCTAATGAATTCAGCCACAGGAGTGTCAAACTGCGCTGTGACTTCTGGAGGTGTGTTCTTACTGTGTGTCTTGCTCCTAGATAATCCACAGGATAACGTTTGTGAACCCTCCTGCCATCACTCCAGAGTGGAAGCGGAAAGTGGCCCAGGACGCCATTGAAAGTCTCAGCGCTGCCAAACTGGCCAGAAGCATCTGCTCCCAGTTCAGAACTCGCCTCAACAGTTCCCACGAGGCCTTTGCAGCATCCCTGCGCCAGGTAAAGTTTCTCTGCAATTTTGTTTTTATTATTTCATACTGCTCTGTAGTACTCTGCCTTGCTGAGGATTACCCCGGCACGGCCCTTACACCAGGAAGGTCTGGTGTGGCACAGAATATGGAATAATGTAGGAGACAGACAGATGAAAGCTTCTCCTCCCAAGCTGCTGACAGACCTATCCATGCTTTGACATTTTGAAAAATGCTGTGGGTCTGAAAAGTGGAGGAGAAAAACAGGGCTTATGAAATGGTGACATCAAAGTGGCATATGGGCTGGAAACCTGTGCTTGATATAACATGACTTCTGCGACGCCCTTATAGAGTGGGATAATTCACACCAGGCAACAGAGCATGACATGACTAATTTATATACAGCAGTGGCTGATTAGCATTAGCTGTTGTTTTTAGCGGATTTCCTCATACAGCAAAAGAGCTGTGACAAACATCCTCAGGGATTTTTACCTTGCTGCGGTGTAATTGATTTAAATGAGCGTGACATTAATCACCTGACCAGGGTAAAAGGTTTGTGTGAATCTCCTGCTGTACGGTTTGAATGCCTCTGAACCTTCTGTAGCTGGTGGGAACGCAGAGTGCTGGCAACTGACCAGTAAGGTATGATCTTTTTTTTTTTTTCAGATGATACACAGTAGGGAAAAGTATGGAATTTCATTTTAGACATTTCCAGGCATGGATAAGTGTGGGACTATTGCCCCTATTCTGTTTTCTAAAATATAAAATTCAGAATTTGAAAAAATAAATGGATCTAATGAGCAGAGTCGGTGTGAGAGAGCCCGGGCCACAACAAGCTTCATGTCGTCAAAAGTAAAGCACGAAGTCGGCCTATAGCGTGTGACTGAACGCACATTCCGACGCAGAGCTGCCTCTACACCTTGTACATCACAGCAGCTCTGCCCCAAGGGCCTTATGCTGCATTCCAGGCAGAGTTGGAATTTCCCAGATGAAATTGAGTGTCCAACCTCCAAGTGTTCCTGTTGCATGATGAAGAAACAACATGGCTGACCCTGACAAAATGATGTTTCTAATATACACACAATTTAACTCTCAGCAGTACAAACCGTTTTAATGACAACGAGTGACATAAGTACTTGTTAACTGTGATCCTGTCCAGCTACATTAATCTGTCCAGCTACATTAATCTGCAAAACTCAGTAAATGTTTTTTTCTTAAAGTTTTCTGATTTGTTGACATTTATTATGTTTTCCTGAAAAACTTTTGCGAAGAGAAGATGATTTTCAGAGATTTTAACCACCTACCTAACATCGCTGGGAACATATTTCTACATCAATTTCCATGCAGTACATGGTTTACTATGTGATAACATGTATTGTTTTAATTAAATACAAGTAAATATACTTTACATTGCTTTTGAGTGGATGGTTTACCATTTACAATATGTGCTTCCTTAGGGACTCCAACACTAAGGTCACTGCTGAGAGTTCAATTGTGTGTGTACAGGAAATATCAGTTTGTCGTGTTCAGCCTTGTTTGTCAAATCTAGACATTGAAAGAAAATGCAGCAATATCTTTGAATCACATATATACATAGCATCACAAATAACCAATTAAGCTTGTCTGAACATTCATGAGTTATGCAGTGAAGTAGTTATCGGAAAAGTAAACCGATTATCTTTCCTGCTTTCCTGAAACCAGACGGTTATGGCTACGCTCATCATTGTTTCCATGGACACAGTGAATAAACAGGGCTGTACAGATGCCGTGAAAATTAAATTATTTGACTTTTTTCTACTCATTTTCAGTTCTCATTTATAAAAGAGACATTGAGGGAACAATAAGAGGACAGGTAGCGCCGGTTAGTTTACTTCCTCTTTAAGCAGAGAGTACCCACCTACATTCTTCTGGTAATTATATGGTAACATAAAAGCATACAGAGTCAGAATGTGTAACATACATGTTTACAGTTTCATTTACATTTTATTTATTTACATAATAAAAATCTGTCTCTACTCAGATGTCAAATATTGTCTGAAGAAGTCTGACATTTTGAAATGGAAAAGGTTTGGGAACTCTGATAATGCCTTCAGTGACATCTCTATAGACAGCTCTTATTGGCTCTCACTCCCTGCACAGCTCGTGCTTCAGCAGTTTATTCCTCTTCACTTGGATTGCTTTGCATTTTAAGCCCCAAAATGCAAATAGCTGCGACTTCCTCCATGAAGTCCCTGACAAATCCAGTTCAGTCAAATTGATGAAAAGCATCACATGACAGAGGGTACGCGTCACATCACTGACTACATTTCCATGCTCACTCCTAATGGAGTTACACAAATACACTGAACTATTGTGGCAGTCTTAAAGGGGATGTGATGATGGGCGACGCGCTGTGTGTTCGGGGCCTTTGATGGACAAAAAATATCAAAATAATTTCATTTAGTTATTTATCTAACTCAGTGATTGAAGATCAACTAATGAAATAACATTTAATTTCTGTCACATTCCTGTCCATGACTAATAGAGAAACACCTGCCTGCAGGTATGTGAGGAGGAGTTATGAATGTGAAGGTAAATGCAAAGTGTTGTCAGTGGTGATAACAGTGGTGCGAGTGTTTGGGTTGGTGACTAGTCTGGGTCCTGTTTTAACCCCTTTTTTCTTTGTTTCATGATGCACGCAAGAGATTCACTTTATTGCAAAGAATGCCACAAATTGCTGCATCTAAACTGTCATCTTTTATAGTTTGTGCTGTACGTTATCTGCTGCACAGCATCAGATTCAAACACAAACCTGCAATACCAGACAAAATATGAGTACATAAGAGCAGAATGACGATCAGATGAGCTCTTCATATTATGTTTTTCATTGACATATCACATTTTTTGGTCAAAAGATTAGGGCTGGACAATAAAACAATAATTATCACAATATAATGTTTTTTCAATAACAATATAACAAATGTTCAATAAATGTTCAGTAAATATTTGACTGTATTCACTTAAGTCATACATGAGTTAGGTCTTAACTTTTTTTATTAAGAAGTTTATTTTGGACCAAAAAAAACTTTTACTTGATTTTTACTCTTGCATATTTGTTGACTAAAGACTTTATCGCAATTGATTTGAATGTTCTACCTCAGATTTGTGAAGTGATCCACTGTTTGGCCTCAAGTGTTGACCATAAAGAAGAGTTTAAACCACAATTAACCATCACTCACAAATCAGCCTTTAAACTCGAAAGAAATAACAATTTGATACTTATCATGATAATTATCGACATCGAAAGATATGAAACTTTTTATTGTGATAACATTTTTGGTCATATCGTCCAGCCCTACAAAAGATCTTTCTAGTGTACTTTTTGACAACCTTAGGTCGCTCCTCTTGCACATGGCAGATCACATGTAGTGAAAGGTGCACACATTTACTCTTCATCATTATCATTTCTCTTAGTTCATGATTGTTAATATATACAGAGTTACCCAAAGTTAGAAATATGGACAAACACATCATATTTTACCAAGCAAACAAGTAATAATATAAAATTATTAATCAGAGTAAAAAGACTTATGGTGACTACTAAATTATAGCTTTCAGCCCATCAATATTTTATTTATCGGATTGTGATGGAAAGAATTAACAGTATCACTGGACAACATGCCAGACACAAAAACTGCACTCAATCCAGTGTTTGAATTTACTTGTGGTGCTGGGTGGCGCGGTGTGTGTGATGGCGGGTTCAGTAATAAAACTAGTCAAACAGAGGAATGAATAACTCTATGGAGCACACTGCTGTTAACACTACTGGAGGTAAAGCAGTAATGGCAGGAGAGGGGTAAGGTCGGTACTTCTTGGTTATGAGCTCTTCACTCCGGAGATCTAGTGGTCTCCTCTGGGTTGGCTCGCCATCAACTCAAACACATTTCCATGTTGTTAACTCTGTGTGACCTGGGTACACAAAATAATCGCCGCCGCCCAAGTAGACGCCCTGTTTATGGGAAACGCTGCAATTTAAAGGACGCTGTTGCAGACTAGTGAGTGATAGTATGTTCGTTCTCATGTTGACTTTAAAGCTCCAGCGGAGCGCAAAACAAACAGCAGTGATGAGAACTCAACCCTGTGGAGCGTATGAAAACAGACAGATGCCCATTTACTGTCACCCTCTGGCCAGCTAGTGCATTAACCAGTCTGACAAATGACAACTTCGCCCACTGAGGTCAAGGCAGCCGGCCTATACTCACTGAGGACTTGAGGGCGGTTCTGCAAACAGTTCCATGGTGATGGCACCCGCTGACGTTCTGATGATGCAGTTTAAGAAAAGAGGATCAGATGTAATGGGACGGACCAAGAACATTAGAGGGTGCTCCTAACAGTTACAAGTCACTTTACAAAAATGAAAACTGTTAACAAATGAGAGAAGTCATTTTGCAGTTTCTCCTAATGCTGACCATGAGATGCTATGTCATGTGTTGGTGTTTGTAGCTGGAGGAAGGCCACACGGGGCGTCTGGAGCGCACTGAGGACCTGTGGCTGCGTGTGAGGAAGGACCACGCCCCTCGGTTAGCCCGCCTGTCTCTGGAGAGCCGCTCCCTCAGGGATGTGCTGCTGCATGGTGAGTCACAACCAAGTCCTGTGAAACTCCCAGTCTGGTCACACAAAAAATACCTTTTTTCTGTAACTTCTGGAAATTGTATCTTTGGCCATTGGTGACTCTGCTACCATTGAAAATCTCCAGATGTATTATTCTGCTTTGAATAAAAGTGTTATGTAAAGAACTTTGAATTTCCTTGTTGTTGCAATGTTCGATAAGAATAAACTTGCCTTGCAACCTGCATACAGGCATTTGAAAAAGGACTGCGTTGCTTTCTGACAGGTAAGCCAAAGCTCGGGCGAGAGCTGGGTCGGGGGCAGTACGGAGTTGTGTACTTGTGTGACAGTTGGGGGGGACACTACCCATGTGCCTTGAAGTCCGTGGTACCGCCTGATGATAAACACTGGAACGACCTGGCTCTGGAGTTTCACTACACAAGGTGAGTAAGAGTGAGTGCAAAAACATTATGTACGCACGCAGAGATGTGTAGAGACAGCTGCACCGGCATGATCTCAGCAGCCGCCTTGTTTTGTCTCAACATTATTTTAATTCTTCTCACCAAACCGCCGCAGGTAGACAACACAATCATAGCTGCCTGTGCATTTTTCTTTTGCTTGAGAAGCAGCTGCATTTATGGAGAGCTGAACTCTTTTCAGTGACAGTTTTGTTGTAAAGGTCAAACTCCACCCACTGTATAAAAAATAGTTTTGACTGTTGAAGCCTGGAGGCTATTCTGCACACATTCCCACATGTTGTTGGTTTATTGTTAATGCTGATCTGCTCCAACTGCCCTAAACCTGAGGAATGCTGGACTTTGTAAAACTGAGTTGAGGCTGCATGAATGTACACAAGCAAGACTTACATTAGGGCTGGGCAATAAAACACTAATGATAATTACTGCATTATCATTTTCCTCAATAACAATATAACCAAATGTTCAATTACTAAATGTTTGCTTTAATGCATTTAAATAGCGGCCCTGACTTACATTAAAGTACTGTGACTCAAAAAGTGATAATTTTATGATCGTATGACTGAAATGTTTAATTTTCCTTCCTTCTCCATCTTTGCATGTGTGTTGCTTCAGGACCCTGCCCAAGCATGAGCGGCTCGTCGACCTGCATGGCTCTGTGATTGATCACACCTACGGAGGCGGCTCCAGCATCGCCGTGCTGCTCATCATGGAGCGGCTGCACAGAGACCTCTATACAGGCTTGAAGGTGCAGTGTTTAGAAAGAGATGTATTCTTGTTTTAAAGGTAAAGAAATGTCGTCTTCCATCTCACTCACACACTTCCAGTTAAGTCTCCTTTTCCTCTCCGTCTCTACCAGGCTGGTTTATCGCTGAGGGAGAGACTTCAGATCGCTCTGGACGTGGTGGAGGGGATCCGCTTCCTGCACAGTCAGGGCCTCTTGCACAGAGACATAAAGCTAAAGAATGTTCTGGTAAGTTCAGACCAACCAATAGTTTGGCAGATTTGGGGAGGTGTGTGTGTGTGTGTGTGTGTGTGTGTGTGTGTGTGTGTGTGTGTGTGTGTGTGTGTGTGTGTGTGTGTGTGTGTGTGTGTGTGTGTGTGTGTGTGGTTTGTCCACTTCAGGGATGCACTGTAAACTGACACATCAGCTTTTTATTTTTTTGTGAAAATCAAAATTTCTGCTTCAATATGAAACCTGGACCAGTCGAGATGCACCTCGTGACCCTCAAAAACAGTCCAACTTTGTGAACAACTTTTTAAACTAGCCAGTCGGCATTGTTGATATAAATATGGCCATGATTGAGCAACTACATTGTGTATTTCTTACCTTTTAAACTTGTTCATAAATTAATTTTGGATACTAATTCAGATGATATTGATGCTTATTATTAATTTTTATTCAAAGAATAAATTCAAAAATTTTGCTGTATGACCGAAGTTCCTCTCTTTTCATTCCTTTTCCAGTTGGACAAACAGAATCGTGCAAAGATCACCGACCTGGGCTTCTGTAAACCGGAGGCCATGATGTCCGGCAGCATCGTTGGGACCCCCATCCACATGGCTCCAGAGCTGTTTACAGGTACGGTTTACTGAGCTGTCACAAAGTCCATAATTCATCACAAAGCAACTTCAAACAGTTTAACTTTTCAGGACAAGCAGATACTAGTATGGCAAGCCGTTACTACTAGTACTTATTTATCAGTTACTAGTAACTATTTCCATTTGACTAGTATCTATTATTTAGATACTAGTCAAATGGCTTGTTCATAGTAACATTTTAATTGTTGCTAGTAAGAATGGAATAGTTATTATTAACTAGTGAAATAGTTACTAGTTACTAAAAAATAAACACTAGTATCTCAATAATAGACACTAGTAAAATGGAAATGGTTACTAGTAACATTTGTATACAGTAAAACTTTTAATAGCCGAGTCCCAAATAGCCGCCTACCCCGCTTACTGTCCTGGTGCGGGAACACATTTTGACAAATAAATGCAGGTCCGCATTAAATGCCTGGTCTGGTTTTATATAAGTTCTTTGGATGTATAAAAACTCTTAAACCCTGCGGGGTTGCCGGCTTTAGCTGCTTCTAAGCTGCTTAGATCGTTAATACACATGTTTAAACGTATGATCTATGTGTCAGGATGGACATGCTACTCATCGTTAGATCGGTTAGATTTTCCACAATTCAGTCGTTCAGTTCATTTAAGAGAAACAACAAGCCCCAAAGTCTAATTCTTATAGATTTACCGGTGTAACCTGCCTGGTATAAGAGAGGAAAGGGAAAAAAGTGATGATTGCCGTTACCTTTGAAGTGCTTGTTAAGCCTGAATGTGTTATTTATATTACTTTAGTCTGTAAGGGTTCACCGATCAAAAGACTCAAAACAGCTTTTCATAAAAATAAATCCAAGTTGTAAATACTGTCATGTGAAGTCCATCGCTCTGTCTGCTAACTTCTGCCACACTTCTCCCATCCTGCACCTTGTTGTTGTTGTTGTTGTTTTCTTTACGTTGCTGCCTTCAAAATAAAAGCACAGAAGCAGTCTGTCGGAGCTAGATCAAATGAATGACGTGTATTTGATATTATAGGATAATTTTTATACAAGTAATATTCTCTTTGAAATAAATAAACTGTTTCATAATAGTTTCAGTTTTGTGCAAAAGGAATTAAAGGCCTGTCCCATATGGACGCCTGTCCCAAATATAGGCAGGGTCAAATCAGTGATTTTAGCAATTAAAATCTATTAATCAAAGTTTTACGGTAGTTACAAGTAACTAATGAATATGTACTTGTATCTAAATAATAGATACTAGTAAAATGGAAATAGTTACTAGTAACTAATGAATAGATGATATTTGAACTGCAGAGCCCCATTGATTTCAATGGCAAAAATCTACCATTATTTAATAGTAACTAAAAATAGTTAGAAGTAAAACGGGATTAGTTATGAGTAGCTTTTAAATAGTGACTAGTAAGTTTTAAGGAATAAATATTATGTGCGAGTCTTTTTAAGGTTTTCTTTCTATGGTGTCGTCTCCTCACAGGAAAGTATGATAACTCTGTGGATGTCTACGCCTTTGGGATCCTTTTCTGGTACCTGTGCACGGGTTCAGTGAAACTCCCAGAAGCCTTTGAGAAGTGCTCCAGTAAGGACCAGCTCTGGAATAACGTTAAAAAAGGTAAACAAACACAAAGGTCGCGCTCACACCTGCAGCTCAGTTCGTTTGGTCTGGACCAAAGAAAAAAACCTACCTTGTTGCCTTTTTAGTTCCGGTTCGTGTTTACACTGTTTTAACGAGAATCGAGAACGTTAACACGACATTCTACAGACTGACAGGTAACCTGTTGATTGGATAGTTTTGGTGATGTCATCCAGCATCGTCAGTGTTATATGGACATATGTGAGGAAACCATGTTCGGTGACACTTGAATGCTTCTCATGTGTTTGTTTATATTCTCTGGTGTCTCAGACACAGGAGGAAACAACTGATTCTGTCAGTAGCTGAGAGTGCAGCTTGACCTCATGTTATGAATAATGACAGAAGAGGTGTCTTATACTATAATATCATGGGGACATTAATGTGGGATCTTTTTAAATGGGGGAAATGCCAAAGTACATGCAGCAAGACACACTGCAGTTTAAACTGCTTTAGACACTCTATTGATCTGGGAAAATCCCCGAACTCACATGCTGTGGTCACCAAATGATTTGTATGAATACTGTATTTTCGTCACTTGTACAAATTGCTTCTAAGATTGCTTACTTAACAACTGATGGTAGAGCTGCAACGATTAGTCTATTAATCAATTAGTAGTCAACTATTGTATTAAACATAATTAATTTCATAATTGATTAATTGATTTGAGTCAGTTTTTAAGAAAATAAGTAAAATTCTCTGATTTCAGCTTCTTCCACATGAATATTTTCTGCTTTCTTTGCTCCTCTATGACAGTAAACTGAATATTTTAAGGTTTTGGACAAAACGAGACATTTGAGGACGTCGCTTTAAGAAACACTGATCGACATTTTTCACAGTTTTCTGACAGTTTCTGGACCCAACAACTAATCGATTAATTGTAAAAATTATCTTAATTAAATTGATTGTTAGTTGTAGCCCTTGTTGATGGCTAGAAAATGGATTTGTGTTAAAAATCACATATCTAATGTCAAAAAATCTGTTTGCTTTTGCGCCAAAGACAAATCCGAGATTTGTTTGGAAGCGGAGTGAGACCCTCCTCTTCAGGCGGCCTCTCAGGTTGTTTATTCAGCGGCAAAGTTCAATCACACCAGCCTGAATGAACGACACCAAAAAGGCAAACTTACCGGTGTCTGTTTGAAATCACAACCTTATACACAATCGACCCGAGACAGTTTTCAAACATGACACGTCGAAGTTGACTCTCTTGACGGCACGCTGGTGTTTGTTTTTGTTTCACTTGTGTCCGTGTCGTCTCCAGGAGCCAGGCCCGAGCGGTTGCCCAGTTTTGATGAGGAATGCTGGCAGCTGATGGAGGCGTGCTGGAACGGAGACCCTTCCCAGAGGCCCCTGCTCGGTATTGTGGAGCCCGGCCTACAAAGCATTATGGTCCGGCTCTGCAACTGTGGCTCGGAGCAGAAAAGCAGCAGCCTCGAGGACTCAAACTGAAAACAGTCCAGACAAACGAACACACCTGTGATAGGGATTCTGATCAGGAAAGTATTTTTCTTGTATTTATGACGAACGAAGATGAAGAGAGAAGAACAGGTGACCAGTGAATAATGTTGGAGCTATCCTCCTTGTTCACAGTTGTTGGATTTACATTATTTATGAGGAATTGATACAGACCAGAAGTTTGCAAATATGTGTGTGTGTGTGTGTTTTAATTGTTTGTTCATTGTGTATTTGTATACAAAACTCTACAAAATGCTTTTGTTGTAGCTGCTGTGCTAATTGCTACTTGTCCTAGAATTGTTACTAGATGCAAATTGTTTTAAAGTAGTCCATTCCCAATGTTATGAATATATATAAAAGATTAATTTTAGATTGTATTTAAACGAAACATGTCTGCATCTATACAAGTACATCTTTTTTAATAAAATGATGGTGCAACTCATGATTGTGTCGTAATTGTTAGCTTGTTACTGAGGATTTTGTGATGTCAGAATGTTATTCTCTAAATCAGTGGTTCCCAACCTTTCTGGCACAATGACTTCTTAAAACAAAGCAAAGTCTACTTGCAACACCTCGTCACTGGTTGTGACCAGTTCATATAGGGCCTAAAGAGAATTCACAAACGGGTGTGGGGGGGGATAGCAAAGTCAGATAGCAGTGCTCTAAATTATTACATTCTGGAAATGTTAAGGAGTTTCAAGTAACAAGTTTAGGAAACATTGAGTTGGTGAAATAAATACTGCGTACTTTGTAAGAAAACATGAGCAGATATGCGCTGGTGAATCATTCAGTCACTGCGGTCGGATGAGTTGGAGAATTTGAAGCCTCTTCTACACTGTTAGTGCCGTTTTTCTGCTGTTTCATCATTACAAGGAAATTTAGCTAAATATTAAATATGAATAAATTATTTTTACTAATGTATCAAATTGAATAACACTTTCCTTTTTTAGTTGTTTATCAAAGATAAGAAGTTAAAAAATGAGAAATGAAAGTAATCATTGTACTCAGCAATGTGTTTCAGAAGCAGCCGGAGCTCTGCTTGAAGTGATTGGCTGTGACCGGAGTGGGTGTTGGGGATTATAAAGGAACACAGGTGAGAAGCATCAGCACCACCTAGAGAGTTTTTTATGCCTTGTCCCTCTCCTTGTCTGGGAAGTAACACAAGCAGCACGTTTCTGCTGACGACAGCAGCTCACTGCTGATTAACACATCAACACGGACCGGTGTGTCATCCCCCATGTCTTTTTCAGGATTTAAATATTTTAGGAAACCCCCCACTGAAACCAACCAAAACCACCATATGACGGAAATAATTTATTGTAGTCTTTATTTTAAAATGTTGCGAAACCTGTAAGATTAAGACTTTATTCTTCTTATGACAGATGTCTGATGATTAAAACTGTTTTGATCTGTCACATGAAGATAAATACTATTATCAGATAATACAGATCACATGTAAGTCAGTTAATATTCTGCAGCTTTTCTGCTCATATCAAACTGTCTCGCTCTGACTGAACCCTCTACGCTTCCTCAAGAATACTGACGATCAAATATTATTTTAGGCTTGAGCACAAGCTTCAGATGCCTCAGTATAAAATCAATCCTCTAAAGTGAGCTGATCCTCTAGGTAGGTAAAGGATAAATGTTTAATAAAGAAGGTTTGGAGGCTCATTAGTTCCAACCAGCACATGTGGAGGGCGGTTAGCTCAGGATAAGGACTGGAAAAAGCTATCCTGGCTCTGTCCAAAGGTAACACAATCTGTTGACCGGTGTTTTCTGAAGCTTATCTCTTGTTAAATACATACCAAGGCAGATTTTGTTTGGATAGAGTCAGGATAGCTGCTTCCATTCTTTATGCTAAGCTTAGCTAGCCGTCTCCTGGCTGTAGCTTCATATTGAACGGATATGAGAGTGGTATTAATGTTATAATCAAACTGTCAGCAAGGATGCAAATGAGTGTATTTGCTACTATTCTTTCAAAACTGAGTTCAAAAATCATCTGTCGTGTCTAATTGTAGAAGAGAATTCTAAAATTATGTAACCCTATAAAGAATCAGTATTTTAACATCAAAAATAATTAAAACCTTTAAAGTTTGTCCAAACAAAGTTGGTGCACAACATCTTTGAACTTAATTTTATCAAGTGGGGACCATTTTCCAGAGCATAGCCCTTGAATTTTTTAAACTTTTCTGAAAATAATTTACCTTATGAAATTTTAGATTTAACTCCCTAAACACATCCTAAAACATAGAGCTTGGTTTGGCCGACTAATTTCATTTATTTTCACTGCAACAACTCCAGCAGGGAACATTAAAGTTTAATTTAATCTTACTGAGCTTTATTAAACGTGCCACTGGCAGATACACCTGCAGACAGCAGAAAAACAACGATACCACCATTAAAACCGCCTTTTGCTTGCAGCAGTTGTTTGTTTTGAAATGTGTAGTTTTACACACCAGAACGGCAAAACAGGAAGCAGTTATTTTCAAAAACAAAAACAGTAAAAAGGAATAGTGTGGGAAATTTGCTTGTTCGCTTGACATTTAGTTGAGAATATCAATGCCAATGTCTGCTCAAGATGAAGCTGCAACCAGTTAGCTTAGCTTAGCATAAAGACTGGAAGCAGGTGGAAAAAGCTAGCCAACTGTAGTTCATCCCACAAGCTCACTAATCTATGCTAATAGTTATGTGTTGGACATTTTTTCCCAGCCAAGTCAATCAGCCAAGAAACAATCCAGCGTAGCGTAGCCATGTAGCCCCCCTGTAAAATTGTAATTTTTACACTTAAGTTTTTTGTACAAGATATAACAGTTTGCTTTACCTTCTGACAGAGCCCAGTTAGGGGTTTCCTCCTGATTCCAGTCTTTATGCTAAGCTAAGTTAACCGGCTATAGCCACATCTTTAACAGTATTATTCTTCTTCTCTCTGCCAGAATGCAAATAAGTGTAATCACCAAAATATTGCACTTACACCATCAGCTGTGAAACAACCGATTCAAATGAAATTCCTTTCACGTGCACATAAGCAGGCTTTGATTTCTGTAACAAAAGTTTGTGACCTTGTCCTTTCTTTATAGGAAATATCAGATTTTTCTGATGGTGCAGTAGCAGGATGTAACAGCTGTAATGTAAAATACGTCATACAGGGAAAACGCAATTTATAAAAAGTTATTTGACTTGGCACTGATAAAATTAGAGGTAAGATGAAAATGGTAGAAAACAGTTTAATCAGTAAAAACAGGAGTGGCAGAGTAAAAGAGACAATTCTCTGTTGGGATACCAGAGTTGATATGATTGACCTGGTACTGTTGATTCTTATGGCATGACATTTATACAATAAATTCATATGGTTGGCAAAATGGCATCGACACATAATGAGAGTAGTAACTCAGATAAAAGACATTTCCTCCCGAGTATCATCAGTGATTCCTAAAAACAGGGTCTGAATGTCTGAAGGAAATTTACATAATATTTTCTTACATTTAAAGATATGTCCTTGATTCATTTACAGGCCACTCTGTACAGTAAAAATGGATTACAGCTCAAATATTATTACAGCACAATTTTGCATGTATTTCATTATTTTACAAACAACAAAAGCTCCGCAGCTAATCTATAAAATACAGCTGTTTAGTCACTGAACTCAAATGAATGCATTCATCCCTCAGATAAAATGATGAAAAATTAGAGCACTTTTAATGTCCATAAAAAATGTGCTCTCTGTGATTTACAAAAAAAAAAAGATGTATCAAAAGTCCTTTTGAGTCCTGCACATGCAGGTCCCCCCCTGGAAGGCTGGGCAGTGCAGAAGGCCGTCAGTCTGTGCAGCTGTGAACAGCTGTTGTCTGTGGAAACATCCTTCATCAATGAGAAATAGCTTATGTCTGTTAACAGGCGTGTACAGCGATTCTTTCCTCGTTTTCAAGTTCAGAAATGCCTTGGGGAGCCTCTACGAACGACCTGCACGCGACAGTCTTTGTGCCTCCTGGACATTTCAGGCATGTGAAGTAACTCAATAACCTGAGTCTGAACTCCTCAGACTGGCACAAACACTAACAGCTCCAACAGAAGCAGGCAAACCAGGAAGAAATCAACAAGTAGTTTATGCATGAAAAAGGAAATTTCCCTGAATGTTTGCAAGTCTACACTTAAATGACCCACCCCAAAAAACACATGACCTCTTTATTGTTCCACAGTCTTCAAAACAAAACATCCTGGAACAAAAAAAAAAAACACTACAAAAAATTAAAAATAAAAGAATCGACTGCCAACAAATCTGGGCAGTAAATCAAAAAAAGTGCATTGCTTCAAGTATGTAAACAAAATGATTTCTTTAAAGGGAGAGTGAGACTCATTCTGTCAGTGTGCATGAGCCTGGGCCAGTGCAGTGACTTCTGAGGTTTGGCACACATGTATGAACACACACATACAGTACAACACACACATCCTTTTTCAGAGGATCATGACGATGAGGGGGAATTCCTTTTTTTTCTTCACATTTGTTTTTGGGGGGAAGTCCGGTTCTCCCTGTTTGCAGTCAGTGTTGAGGAAGGAGGCTCTATGACCTGCAAAGACACACCCCTCCGTAAGCGCAGTCACATGGGGGTGTTGCAGTGGCTGCTGGGAAAACAGGTTGATGCGTGGAAGAGGAGGAGGAGGAGGAGGGTGGTGGTGGGTGGATTCAGGATGGATTGAAATGAATGCAGCGCAACACAAGAACACAAACAGAAAAAAATAAGCACATGAGGCGATGACACACACACACAGACACACACACACGACACACACACACACACACACACACACACACACACACACAGTGTGAGAAGTGACAGATGCTAAAATGATGCACCAATCTGAAGACAGTGATCCTGATTGTTTTAAATGAGGATCAGAGCTTCATGGGATAAAATTAAAGAATAAAAATCTATGATTTTTGGAAAGAGAGGAGGGGCAAAGAAGGTTGATTAGTAAAATTATATTTTATTTACTGTAAATAAGACCTACTTTATTTCAAGAATTGAGCATTTAAAAGTGCCTTTAATTACAGACAGTTACGACTGTATACTCACCACTCATGTGCAGAAGTAAAGACAGAAGCTAAGCTTACATTTTATATTGAACATCTGCAGCTTTTCATCCACAGACTAGTGCAGTTAAAGTTCACTGGTAAATTGTTCATCATGATTACAGAGAATTCTGGAAGATATTTGTGTATATAAAAGTTTTTGTTTTTTTGTTTTTTTTTTGACAAAACAGATGCTCTCTCTCCTTAGTCCTTCTGGCATACTGACACTTGGGTACCATATTTACATTTACCCAGCCTACACACTGAATATATTTCTTTATAGTTCACAGAAGCAATATACTCTTGAAAATAAAAACCCCACACATATTTGCTATAATATACTGCTTTGGTCTAAACATTAAATTTGCATTCAA